GTACCACTCACGAAAGTGCACTGCCATGTTTCGAGCTGAGGTGCATGATGTGCACTGCATAAGGTATGTGTGAACAATCTTGAAATTCTAGTGATGACACCATTCTTATCAAGTATTTATTATTATTATAAACTGGATCATTGGATAATGCAATTCAAGACTTTTAATTGGCTTAGCCATTATGGTATATAAATAAAATAAAAAAATAATAAATAAATAAATAATTTAGCAATGGACATCCACTTGGTGGCTATTCTTGTCCACTGTTTCCAGATCGAATTTGAATTTGGAATGTTGGTTTTTGTGGAGGGAGGAAAACCGGAGGACCCGGAGAAAAACAGATATTAAATTATGGTATATGAGCCAATATACCATAATCTAATATCTGTACATTGTAACAGCTGGTTTCTTCTTACAAAATATAAAGTCAAGAAGATTTGTCTGAGATCTTGGGGGCGTTTATCTCGTATCCAACGTCATCTCATATCCAACAAGCACGCATTGGATATGAGATGATAGATAGCCAACAAGGTGCATAGCACTGAGTTGGCTATTATCATCTCATATCCAACTAGTGTGAGTGGAATAGTTGTTAAATAGACAAGTATCTCTTTTCTGGAGATTTCATTAATCATGTTGTAGAATGGGCCTTTTTGATAAAGTTCTTTCCTTTTTCATCCAAACAGAGAAATGATAAAACCTCCTGACTTGATTTATCATGCCATATTTAAACATTCTGCAAGGTTCATGACAAATCTGTGACAAACTCATTAAATTAGTTTTTATTTCTTGTTTTAAGTCTTTCATACAGTGGCAACATCTTATGTGGTGTTGGGAAAGACAACTTTGGAAAGCAGGTATAATTAGTCCACTTAACCTTAATAGCTCAGTATAGAAAACTTGACTGATTGTTTATTTAGATATGTTAAAGGAGGTACAGTGTATCTTTGGCAGTTGTCCACCCTTACCAGCTATTGTTAAACAAAAAACATTGCCATTAATCAAAAAATAATTTGAATTACTGCAAGTAACACTGTGCAGTACAGCACAGTACAGTGCAGTACAGTGCAGCACATTACAGTATAGTATAGTATAGTACAGTACAGTACGAGATTTCTGTTTGATGGATGTCCACCCCTGGGATGGGATGGGTGGGTTTACTGGGCCTGCAGTAATTGGTTCAAGCTGTTACGGTGTCCCTGCCTGTCAGCGAAGCTAATAAACTATAAACTGATAGTATTATCCACCCTTTGAACAGCCTGGGTCTGTGCTCAAGCTATTCCCAGCTCATAGTTCTGTGAAAGTTGATGAGAAACTCAACTCTCACCAGACTTCTCTTCACCCAGGGGTGTAAATGGGTTGTGGTGAACTGTAAGCCTGAAGGAAACTTGCTAGAATGCTATGCTTGTCTTTCAAAGGAGGGAATCAAGAACAATTTCAGGCAATGTAGGTTGGACAGTTGGACTCCATTATATATTTCACGTATGCAGTATTGCATCGATAATATTAATATAAACATTATCTTATCTTTATACATAAGTCTTATTTTATACTATAATTATTACAACTATTGTTTATGCATCTTTTTATTTTATACACGACCCCACAAACTGCACAGCTTCAATACCCATTGTGTCTAAATAAAGGTTTTACTTACTTACTTACTAATGCCAAATTAAAAAAAATTATGACTTGTTAGAATTTTTTTTTTTATTCAAGGCTTTGTGGACAAAGAATGGTTCTTGTATAGTGTACCCGTGTCATGCAATCATTGTCTCAACAGATGTGTCATCTGGACAGCAACAGTTTTTTATGGGTCACACAGACAAGGTAATTGTTGGTATATCAGTATGAATAAGTGTACTAAACCTGTGAATATTTTTTAAAGAACTTTGAAAACTTTTGAAATCGTTTTTGAAGTCAAAGATGCAGAGCTGGTAACAAAAGAATCTTGAAATAAGTTAAACATAAAAGAGGTCTTGTGATAACATTTAGTAAAAAGTGGTTTTAAAGCCATGGAAAGCAAAAGTCATATGGAAAAAAGTCCAAGGGATTTAATAAAAAAGATTTGAACAGGTTTCATGAACAACCTTGTTTATTAGCTAATATCTAATTGTGTTCATATATCACTAAGAGAGAATTAAGATGATTTAGATGATGAGCGGATTTAGATGATGAGCGGATTTAGATGATGAGAGTTAAGATGATTTAGATGATGTGGAGTGCGCTCCTATGTCTATGGGGATCTAGAACCCCAAGAAGGAGGAACTTAGACATTAAAGACAGGGATCTGGAAGTAGAGAAGGGTCGAGCAAGACTTCCTTAAACTCATCAGTTATAGACTATTTTTATTATTTTTATAGTAAATTTTTCTTATT